TGAGTTCAAACCCCATGACCAACAAAAATAAATAAGTGAGTGAATAGATGGATAGATAGATAGATAATAGAAGTCAGAGACTAAAGGCCCGGTACTAAGTAGGGAACTATTACTGCTGCTGTCCTCACAAAGTGGGAAAAGCTCAAGCAGCTATTCTGTAGGAAAAGACCCAGTAAATAGCAGTTTTGTTTTTCTCTGCAAGTTTCATCAGATAGCAGTTTTTACTTTCATACTCAGGAAAACTCTCTTACTTTCTTCATCCTCCACAAGATTTTATTTTGAATGGTGATGTTTTTCCCAAATAATACTATACCTCTGTGCTATTGAAAACCTGCCAGGCTAGAGCACAGATGATGCTTCTATTTCTATTTAGGAGGATATGAAGTTACTTGATCATTTAGGTCCTGCTTATGAAGGAGTACCTGACTCCAATTACCAGCATAGGTCCAAAATGCTTTGTAGTAACTGAAAGACCTTCTCACTGATTCTGATTATATAATATGTCACTTACATATTTAAATCCTAAAATTCCAGCTATATCTCATTCATATAACAAGTGAAATCACAATGATAGCCAGATAGTGAGAATTGCAAGCCAAGATAGGTTGTTCTTTAGCCAGTACTTCTAGTCTATAGAAACATTTCATTAATTGACAGGTCTTTTTTAAACTATAACCTAAGAAGTATTGTTTAAGTCAACTTTTATGGCTGCTAGATCAGTTATATCTTATACTTCATTTTTTTACATGTATAGTACAAATTTTAAACTGGGAATTTGCCCTACTCTAACCACAATCTATATATACCTGAGGAACCACATGAGGGAGAAAGTCTTCTAAAATTGAAATTTTATTTTGCAAATTCACTTTGTATTTTATTAAATAATATTTGCAATAGTGTCACATGAAACTGTAATAATATAGTATTATCTCCATACTACTCTTACAAAAAGCATTATTTTTATTGGGTTCTTAATCATGTATGTGCCACCATGCTTATCACTCTTGCAGTGATAATGAATGAAGTAGTGGGGGAAAGGGGGCAATTGCTGGTACATGTATAGGACAGTGAATTTAGTGTCATTCTTAACAAAAGTATCTTCTTAGCAATACTGTCTCTATATGGTTATTTGGATATGTATGATTAACCTAAGCTTTGTAGGTATTGAAATATCCCAAGAGAAGTCAATTTGCTTGCTATGTTGGTAGTAGGAACTTAGACACTGCCCTCATTACATATCACTACTCTCTGATAAAGCCTGGCCACGTTGTGTCAGTCCTGTAAACTTAGCTACTCATGATGTTTTGGTTGTGGCAGAAAAGTCCGTGAGACGCTAATAAACCATCAACGATGGAGGCATGGCTTAAGTGGTACTTCGCAGTCATGGCACAAAAACAACAACAACAACAAAAAAAGCCAGTCACCAGTGACTCATGCCTGTAATACTAGCTACTCAGGAGGCTGAGATCTGACAATTGCGGTTCAAAGCCAGCCCAGGCAGGAAAGTCAGTGAGACTTATCTCCAACTAACCACCAGAAAACCAGAAGTGGTGCTGTAGCTCAAGCGGTAAAGCACTTGGATTGAGTTGAAGAGCTGAGGGGCAACACCCAGGCCCAGAGTTCAAGTCCCACAATCAACAAAACAAACAAACTGGAATCAGAGTACAGTACCTGAGTTTGAGCTCCAGCATTCATTCAAAAACAAGAACTGTCTCATGGAGAACTAGGTTATTTATTAAGAAGTATTACCCCATGAAGAACAGTGCATGTAAGGGAGGATTGTAGTTTGGGACTCATTTCTCAAAATTGCCTTAAACTTACAATAATTTAATCATCATTTGAACCTCTCTTAGTAAGTGTAGACAAGTATCATTTCTCTTTAAAATTTTGTAGAGTAGATCAACTAGGAATAAAAAAAGACTGTTTTTCATAGTTTCTTACTATGAAGTTGTGAACATTAATATTGATAGTAATGGACATATTAAGCTACAGTATACTTTTAATAATACAAGTGATTATCAGCACAACATTTTTACCAATTCCCCTCCTAGCTTCCAAAAAATCATAACTTTTTTGTTTTCCCTATAAAGACTCTATAAAACGTTTTTCTCTATAAAACTTTTTCTATTTTTTCTTTATGAAACTTTTATAAAGTTTTCTCTATCTTCTTAATTTACTGATTGTCCTACATGTGAATCAGTGTTTTTATTTCCTTTAAAACAATAAAAATTAATGAATGCAATGTTGATCATAGCATTTTGGAGCAGTCATTTAATGATCAGTAAAGTTTTCATTTTAACTTTCTACAGGGAATATTAGATGTTGTCACTTAAAACAACATACAAATTATGGTCTACTAATTTTGCAAAATAATGACTACAAAATGATTACAACATATTTTGCTTAACTATTACATTAAAATATTTCCATATGTATACTATATAAAACTAATTTTATTTTATAAAACATTTTAACTTACATACTTATAAGTTATAGTTTGAGCTTAAGATTCTTTATTATTAGTTGTATTACTATTATTACCTTGAAGTGTTTCTATGAAAGACTTTCAATCTAATGTGTTCATTCATGTATACTATGCAACTTGATCAGTGTCATCTACTGTATTTTTCACATTCTGCTGCCCTATATTCTAACTCCGTTCATTATCTCAGATTTTCTAGTTTCATTACATGTATGCATATTGGGTATTATGATTTTATTCACTTTCCATTCTATTCTCCACCCCCACTCTTAATCCCCACTCTCCTTCAGACAACACCTGTTTCTGCTTCCTAAACACCTTAGCTTTCTTAAAGATAAAGGCAAAAAACCATACACTTTCATAATCTACAAGAATATTGTGAAAGAAGATAGTGTTCTGCATATAGCATTAACAATTAAATTGATTCCTGATGTAACTAGCCATTATCACACTACTAATTTCCACTTAAGTGTTTCTAATTTGTGATGTGGCCCCAAATTTGCAGGTCTCTGTACGAGACATATACGTTTTTTATAGCCCTTAATAGCTGGTATGTTGGAAGTACAATTAAAATGCAAAAAGGTCCCCAATCAATAGTCAGGGTCCTCAATCAAAAATTGACTTAATGTTAACCTTGAAATGTCCCTACCTTAATTTTAATAAAATCAAATTCAAATATTTGCCTAACCTTTTTCATAAATAAATTAGGTGTAAAGTCTGGCATGTATATATATATGTATATATATATATATATATATATATATATATATGGAAATCAGAATTTATCATTATTTCTATACCTTATAAAACTCACATAAATGTAGCATTTCTATTGACAATGTGATTTTAAGCAGAAATGAAATATCTGGCATATAACTGATTTGTGACACTTTCTTTTAAATCTATTTTCTTCCACACATACTTAGAGAAAAGGTATTTATATATTTTAACCCATGTGACAACACAGTGGTATCCATGCTCTTTTTATGATGTTTTATAGTACATAGAAATTCAGTAGTGAAAAAACTATTTCAAATTCTGAATAAGTTAAAAGTGAGCAAGAGAGACTGTATCTCTAATCTCATAGCATTTGTAGAAAGGGAGATAACCTATACCAGCCTTGTTTCTGATTCAATGATAAATCCAAACTTTTAGATCTAAAACAGTGAAAGGATTATTATTTAAAAGAAACTTCTGTTTAGATGTTCAAATTCTAAAACAAGGGTAAAACCCTTCTGAAAGAATGACTTAAAATTAATGACTAATGAAGTTTTAAAGTTATTAAATTATTTCTAAGTTAGTCTCTAAACAAAGAAGCAAATGCTATACTATGTTATTATTTACCTCTAATTTATAATGGTCTACATTTCCTTCTCTCAAATAAGTAGCTGCATACAAACATAACTCTACTAAAAACAGACTGGAACTCTAAATAAGTTCATCTATAATTGTTTATTTGATTTGAAAATATCATATGCTCACATATTTCCACAAGTGAAAAGTATATAAAATTTATTCTATATGTATTTTAAGGTAAAGACTGAAATATGCTGATGGAGCCTGCACATAATTATGTACTTTTCTTGTTCAGGTTAGGAAAACTTGGCATTCCAGAGGTGATCATACTTGATGGAAAATTATATAGTGCTCATCATTTTAATTAAGCAACTTAAAGAACCTACATCTTAGAATTTAGTTTCTATATTTCCATTTGTTCAAAAATAGTTTATCTGCCACCAAAGAAAAGTTGAATAACCTAAAGTCTGCCTGTAATGAAGCCTATTAGTGCTTAAAAGAGTCCTCTTGTTTAAATAGGTGAGCAAGTGATGAAGAAACACTTGTAAGTAAACATGTAGGAAAAATCACAAAGGCATTTAATTATATACATAAACTAAATTTCCAGAAAACAAGGTACAGCACATGTAGTGATTTTCTACAAAACAAAAATGAGCCATTACTTTCAAATAACCACCATTTTTGTCAGAGAAGGATATCTCATCCTGAGGGAAAATTGAAACCCTTAACAAAGATTTTGACTTATAGAATCTGTAACAGATCTTTGCTTACATTTTAGCCCATGGAGAAAAACAGAAAAGCTCCTAATTGCCAGTTTATTAAGCTAGTCATGCATTTTGCTGCAGATTATAAAGCAGTAAAACATGCTCAAGGGGCTCATCAGCATATTTTAGAATTAGGAAATATCATTTACACCATTTTTTACATTACTGATATAACCCTTAGAGAATAACATTAAGTCTTAATCTACAATTTTACTCACCTTTGTATAATTTTATTTTAATATAATGTAACTCACCAAAGTGAATATTTGATCAATGGATAGAGCTAATAGAATAATACATTTATTGCATATAGATTTACTTCAATTTTAAACATATATAAAACAGTCAAAATGGTATAAAAATGAGTTTTTGGTTTTCAGTGAAGTACATTGAATAGATTTTGAATTTTCTTTGTTGGAATGAAATTTTGACCAGGTTTTATTGTTTTCTCTGTGCAGCATGAACACTGATGCCGGAACTCCAACTGATCATAGGCACGGATAGGGTGCTGTAGCAGTTACCTGCTTACCTAGTGTTGTAATTCTTTAGAATTCATATTCAAATTCTTATAATATGGAATTTTCAATTACTATTTGTTTATGACTGATCAATAGAACCTTGCACATACAGGAGAGATGTGCTAGGGAATGGTCCTCACAAGTTTTAGGGGCTAAAAAAAGGTCATTGAACATAATACTTTCTTTAACCCCTTTCTTCCAAAGGAGTTCATAAACATTACATTTATCCACACAACAAACTCCTAATGGGGTAAGTAGGTGGAAGAAGACTTAAGATAGAGAAAATGCTATTTCTAGAGAGTATGGGAGAAAATAAAATGCAATCACACCTACTTTAAGCTTTGGTTATCAGGAAAGAGCTTTATATTTGTCCAAATGATACTTGACAAAATTAAATCAGGAGGCAATTCAATTGTACAAATGATCAATATTTCTTATTGAATCCTAGAATCTCATTTTTATAGGAGAAAAAAGTATGTTGCCTGCTGTGTTTTCTAAAGATACATAAGGAGCTCTAATTTCTAGATTTTTTTCCATTTTCCATTGAATGTTTTATATTGCAGCAAAATATTGAACTCCTTAATATTAGGACATTCCTTACCTTTAAAGAAGGCCCTGATAAAAAAAAAGATACCCCCAATACTTCCTTTGTTCTTTCTTCTCTTTTCCCATCCTCAATTGTCCTTCTTCTTTGTTTTTTTATTAATAAGGAAACAGAAGGAAAGTCTATTAGACATCTAAGAAAGGAGAAAGTCAGATGATGGGTTATTAACATTATGGATATTTTCTATAATTCACCCTCTAATCTAGACATGGTCAGATATCTTAACATGTTCAGTGACTAGGACTAAATAGGTCATTTGGCTTGAATTGCCCAGGAAATGGCCTGAAATATTAACTGTTTACCTAGTGGTGACCTGGCCACAGACGGTGGCAGACATATGTCATCATTTTCATGCCTCTTATGAGTCAAATAGAGCAGTATTTCCATGATCAAATCATTTAATGCCTCACCAAAGGTGCTCTCCTTCCATGCAAAATCTAATACCTTGTGCTATATTTAAATTTTGATGTGACAAAAGCTCTACTCATCTTATGCCAAGAGCCAATTCAGATTTTGTCCATTCCTTAATAATCAGTTTCCTGTTGCATTATGTAAAATTTCTGTTGGAATGATCCCCCTCCCTGCTCATTTCTTAGATACTACCTTAATTCAAATCAATGTGACATTTTAGATACTGTAAGCTCTCAAGAATTTTTTATTCAAATGCACAGGATTTGGTTTCTGGTGTCATGAAGTCATGAAGAAGGACTGAGGCAAATCAAATGAAATTTTTTGATATCAAATATCAAATGAATAACAATTATGTAACAAAATGTAATATCTAAAATTATCTTCCCCTTATGTATTCAGACAGTATCTATAGAATGGTATGAGGAATCAAACAGCAAGTTCAAATTAAGTTAGCTAATAAGACACTTTTGTATCTTTACAAAGAGAGATATTTTATTTAACTTGGTTGAACCATAAGTAGGCCTTATGTGGGGTGTTTTTTTTTCCTGGACTTTTCCAGCATATCTTCTTTATGACATTTGTTTTTAGCTATTCCTTTCACAGTTTTGAAATACATACGCAGGATGCAAGTCTCACACTTCCTGGGGCTTGGGAAAGCCAGTTGTGGACTTTGAAGGCTAGATAATTCAGCTGATCACAGAAGGTCTCCAATATGGAAAAGGCCATGCCAGCCTTCTCTGCTGTGGGGTCTGCCATGTCAGGCAATGCTATGCTAAGAAGACTGCATGAGCTTGCATTTGTATGTTTAAAAAATGACCATGTTTTATATATCAAATTCTCCCTTTTACCTATCTGATAAATCTTACAGCAATAAACTGTGCCAGCTTTCCCCAAATGCCAGTGTGTGTCTCTCCTTGTAAGTTCCCAACTGCTAACATTCCTCTGGAGAAGCTTTGCTCATTGCTTTTCCTGGTCTTTAATCTTGTTTACATCCAGAATGCATATAAGATCATCTCTGTTTGAAGCTCAAGTACAAACTCTTTTAAAAACATGAAACATTAAATTACTAATTAGCTGTTTCCTGTTCCTAATGAAGTGAGCATGCCGGGTTTGGATTAAAATTCAGCTACAGCTCTCTTCTGTTTATGGTTCCAGATGTTTTTGGTTTATCTAGCAGTTTACTTTGACAGCTACTACTAAATGATAAATCACTCATATTATAACTCAAATGCATTTTGAAATTGAAATGTGGCAACTTTGAGATTGCTCTAAGAATCAGTGTGTTAGCAGGTCAAATACTGACTTCTTCCTATGATCATTCAGGATTGGAATATGTAAAACAGTAAATGGATGCATGTCAACAGTAGGCCCAATGAAATCTGTTTGGCTACTATTCTCAAAATTGAGAGAAAAGGTTTTACTACTGCGAAATTTTAATTTATTGTATTCTAGGTTAAAACAATCACATTAGTACTGTCTTTTTGCTAGCCTAGTTTTTCTTTGGATTTTCAAGCTGCTGTGGAAACTTTCTGATAGGCCTATAAGCAGGCACATTTAATGGAGGGTCTGGGTAGATATGTTTGCCTTTTAATTAAAAAAAGTAAGTATTAAGCATAATAATTTTTTCAGAAATTCTTTTTTGTGTAAGGTACAAATGGTGATTGTCTTTTGCCATTCATTACTGTATTTCTGCACTTTTTTTGTAGAGAACATAATCTGTTTTGTTACTGTTTTCAAGTTTGTAACGTTCACAATTTGTACTGCATGATCTAAGTTTTGCAGTGTTGTATAAATTTCAATCTTGGTAAAACGACTTTGCCACTTGATATTGAAATTTTTCTTTGAAATGAGGGCTGTGTATACAGTGTATGAGGTAGACTAGAAAGACTGAGCAACTAAAACTGGTCAATTTCATCACAGGAAATATTATCTAACTCCATTCACAAAGGAGCCTTAGCAATTCTCTGAGGTGAAAGATGATCAGCTTCCAAAAGCACAAATGTGTTTCTTCCGGTCCCTGAAAAAATGTAGGTGATTTCTACAGGTTTCTTGGGGAAAATATTTGGTTGTCCCCTATTGAAATCTAGCCCTCCAACTCTCTAAACAGATTCAATTCTTTTATTCTTCCATTACTGTGCCACACTTGTAGTTTTACTTCTATGATGTTTTCAAGAAAATTTCACTAACTTACCATGATACTATCTATACAAAAGGAATAAATAATATAAAATTTTACATAAGGTTTTTAAAATAATGTGTTTTTTTCCTTAAAATGGTAAGCTTTAGCAGACTGAGTTAATTTTGTACTGAGCGTATCAGTCTAGCATGATAATGTATTTTTTTCTTGGTCATATGTGATGATGGCACAATTTATTCACAAATATGTACATTTTAACTGTTTCTTAAGAAAAGGTAATGGAATTTTACTAAATTATTCATATTTTTGTGGATAGCAATGTTAAGGCAAAAAGATGGAGAATTTTTCCCCTTTAATTTCCAATGGTAACTTTTAGATAACATCATAGATGTTATCTAACTGTAGTATGTAATGGACTCTTTGGTTTACCAGCACCTAAATGAATATTGGTTCCATCAACATCACACTAAAAATGATATTCAGACCAAGTCTCCCTTCATACAGTATACACAGTCTTAGGTTGAGCTGGGAAAAAGGAAATTGTACATGTATAGTGTCATTATTTTAGATAAAAAACTAGACGCCATCCCGTTTTTGGTAAACCATGGAGACTTCAATTGTAACATTATGTAAAGAAAAGGAAAAAATATATAGCTCACTATAGGCATGGTAACATAGTTTATGGAAAGTCTATCAGTCTTTAATGTCCTCAATGCTGTGGAAAGACAAACCGAGCTGTAGAATGAAACTCAAAGAATCTTTGAAAACTGACACATTAACATAAATTAAGTTCAAATTTACCACTATATTAAATCAAGCCTGTTGTGTTAATTTATTTTTGTTTCTTGGAGATAAAAGTTTTAGTGTGTTTAAGTATATATCAGAATTATTCCACAGAACTAACTTGTTTTCTTTTTTTTAAAGGAGGTAACTATTACTGTTTAGCAATGGCACAACAGTTTTATTCGGCCTGAAAGGTCCCTGCTGGCTTTACATAAATGAAGATGCTTGTGATTCCAGTTTGTCTCTGAAACTGTTCAACATGGAAATATTTCAGTTGTGTTTATCAGCAAAGCTTTCCTTATTGAAGCAAATACCCAATCAATGTTACACTTTTGAAAGGAATGTGTGTATATTGTAAAGGCAATGATCTAAACCTTGTCTTCGCATTAGATTTCCCAGTTTAAGGATAGGATCTAAATCCGAATGGCTAAAGTAACTTGATTGTATTTGATGCTTTTCTATGCTCATTTCAGCTTGGCTTTTTGTCTTTCAAAGAAAAAAAATATGGTAGTGTGTTAGAGATTAGAAACTTACATGTATGGTTTCTCTGTTTTACCATATGTTAAGTTAAAGTACACTTACTTTGTTAAAAATGTACTTGCTAAACTTCAGTATAAATAAAAGCATTTTGAATTTGTCACTTGTCATTTTTTCTTTTTAAAATTTCAGCTGTATCAGAACATATAGTACAACTCTTGCAAATTAATATATAGAAAATAAGAAGATATTTACAAACCCTACTGCTGTTATTTCCAAACAAATCTGAATTATATCTTGTTCAATTTCATCAGTATAAATAGGTCAATATTCTTGTACTCCATAATTCTTTTGATTCACACATGGTTGCCTTTCCCTAGCTCTGTGATCAGTGCATCTTCTTCCAAGAGAAAAAAATGATAACCAAGAGCTACAAAATGTCTTATGAATATCTTTTGTTTCTAAAACATTTCTCCAAGATTCACCTTCAACTGAAAATAAAAAGTAAAACAAAACAGGTGCATGTTTACTCTAGCCCAAAGGGATTCTAGCTCTCTGTATGTCCAATTGTCTGTATCAGCCCTGATAAAACCCAATGTCATTCAGAACCCTATCTTGTAGTTTATCTAACCTATGTTTTTATCATCTCCATGGTTCTGATTAGAATAATCTTGGAACCTACCTACATTCTGATTCACCCAGGAACCTCTTAGGTTTTCTATGCAGTGGCAGTGCCACTTCCATTCCTGGCATATCTTGTGAATAATATGTCATATTCTACAATGCTTTGAGTTAGCCACTCTCACTATAGATCTTTTAGTTTGGAGCCATATTTCTAGTTCCACAGAAGGTTTCTTTCACTATCACATCATCATCCTTGTTATTGTAAAACTGAAGACAACTGACAGTACTACAACCCTTTGCTGTAGAGGAGAAATATATCAGAAGATTTATTTTTATTCTATAAACTGGCCTGTTTGAGTAGTATACTATACTCTGCACCATAACACAATAACAGGGTCCCTATAATCAATTCCATTGATATGAAGGCTTGAATTATTTAAATGTTAATGTACATATGCCATTAGATGTCTAGACTTGGAAGTCCAGGTGTTCAATATTTGTCTCTCAACTTCACATGACACCAATTGTCTCAACTGGCTGAAGACTGATGGGGATAATCAACATATAAAGACAAAAGACTCAGTTTCAGAGGTTCTGGTTCCTAATTGCCTTTAAACTACAATGAAGTGCATAGTGGAGCAAAAGCCCTTGTTCATAGTCAGAAACAAAGGGATAGGAAGAGTGTGGAGATGCCTCTACAATGGCATCCCCACTAAACTTAGCTTCCTCCACTCCCTAAAGATTCCACTACTTCCAATCATGCCACAAGCACTATTTAAAGACAAGTTTTTCAAATTTGCAACTTCGTAGAATTCTTATACAAACCACACCATTCTGCTCCCAGAATCCAAAAGTTCATGTGTGTCTCATAATATGAAATTACGAGATGTAGTTACTATGGGTCCTCAGATTTCTCTTAGTTTTCAAACTTGCTCACAAGTCCATTACAAAGTCCATTGAAGCCTTAAAGTAAACTCAGCCATGTACTTCTGTAAAATTTGTTTTACATATTCTTTTATTTAAATGTTTTTTATTGTGAAAACACTGTACAGAGGAGTTACAGTTACATGAGCAAGGTAATGAGTACATTTCTTATCAAGCATTGTTGCCTCCTCCTTCGTTTTTCCCCTACCATCCCTTCCCTCCCACTTCCACAACTACATCCACCCTCCCTCCCCCCTCCCCGCCTAAATTGTAAAGTTCATTTTACATATTCTAAGGTAAATGCTGTTAGGTTTGGGGCATATTTCCTCTCTGAAAGGGAAGACTTAGATACAAAGGATGGATCAGGGGAAAAGTTAAGGCTTAAGATACAGGGTAAACACCCTGTATGTTAATGGTCAATATTGGCTGTGATACTAGCAAGATAGGGGATTCTGAGCATGCTTTTGCTACAGTTGTAATGATTGCAGACCACAGGCTGTTCTATTTTGCTGTCATTGCATGCTATCATTAGCTTCTCTCATAGCCATTCCACGTTATTGATGCTTCCACATTTTGGGGTTTCCATTGCAGCTCTATGCTTATAGCTTCAAATACCACCATCATGTCCTGCTTGAGAGACTCACCTCAAATCACTGTCTGGCTTCTCAAATTGTTCTTTGAAAACTTAGTGGAAGCCTCCATGAATACAGAACTCTTGATTTCTAAATACATGTAAAACCAACATCAAATGCAACTGCCACTGGGTGGGAGTGGTACCTGATTCATCTTGAATCTTGGAAATGGCATCTGCTAAGCAGCTTGCCAGCTGAACTAAAACAAACAAGCTCTTAGATGGTTTTGTGTAGATGGAACACCTGGTGCTTACTTCTCAAATGAAAATCCTTATAACATATTTGCATTTCTACATTATTGAACCAGTGATGTTTGATCTACCCTTGCAGATTTCTTAATATGATCTTCAGACCTTCCTATTATCCTGATTCAACCAAATACTCCTTTTTATATACAATACTGTCTTTAGCAAATGCACTCTTCTTTTTGTATTGTAAAGGTGATGCTCAGAGGAGTTACAGTAACATAAGGAAGGTAATAAGTACATTTCTTTTTGAACAGTGTTACCCTCTTCATTTTCTACTGTTTCCACCCCCAGCAATTTTATAGTTCATTTCCAACATAGTGTCTAGTTAATGTCATTATTGCATTGGTTCATCCTTTGTCCCACCATTTCTATGATTCCTTTTCCTTTTCACAAATCAGATAAACTTATATACAAGACAAAGGGCACAGAAATAAAAAAAATCAGTGACACCATAGTATAAACCAAAATAAACAAAGAAAAAAAGAGCTGAGAACAGTGTATTTCTTTTCTGGCCAGATGCAAAATCTAACTTTTTTCTATGTTCCTTTTTGCTCCTGATTGTCACTGTGTATTTAGCTAAAGGTAGCCACTAATGCCCATGCCACTGTGTGAATATTAGGCTGAATCCAAAACATTTACCTAAAATCAGGCTCCCACATATTCTCAAGGCATTCAAATTCTTTCCCACAGTCCAAGGAGAACCTTGAGTACAATTTCCAGTGGAGTAATTATTTTTGTCTGAAACTTCATCAGCATAGCTTTTGCTCTCTACATTCCTGTTAGCTTTCTAGACCTTTAAACCCTGACAATAATTACTCACTACACTCTTGAAACAACATTCTTAGCATTTTCCAGCTTAGTCCTCCAAAGTTTTGTAAACTTCCCCTGTGAAACTATTACAGTGACTTCTCCACATCTTCTGGTTTATGGTAACAGAAATGATCATTTCTGATAACAATTTCCTGTCTTAGTTTTCCATTACTATAAAATTCTTGCAATAATTAGCTTATTCTGAGGAAAAAAGGTTTCTTTGAGCTCATACTATCAGAAGTTTCAGTTCATGATTGGTTGGCAGCAATGCTTTTAGGTCATAATGGGAGAATATGTGTCAGGGAAAAACTGTTTTCCTTAGAACCAGTACGCCAAGAGCGAGAGAAAAGAAAGGAGGAAGAGTAGAACTCAATCTCCAAATCCTCAACTGGAAAAATTTTTACATTTGGAGCCATCTTTTAAAAGTCCTACTATTTCCAAATAGTGCAATATCCTGAGCATCCAACCCTGAACACGTGGATCTTTAAGGGATACTTATACAGATCATCACTTATGTATTAATGAGCCCCAGTGGATTTATTCATGAAGACCTCTCTCTTCAGCAAATAACAACTTTGTGCCTTCCTACTCTGGGAAATATGCCTTTGTGAAATACTTGTTCCAAAGAAATATATGATGTGAAATTAGGAATTGCATGGAAGCACCTTAGAAGATTATCGGAAGTCAGATCTGAAATATAGGCACACAGTTAGTGCATTAAAAAGTACAATATGAGCCAGGTGCTAATAAGTCATGCCTGTAAATCTTAGCTACTCAGGAGGCTGAGAACTGATGATCATTGTTCATAAGCCAGCCTGCATAGGAAGGTCCAGTAGACTCTTGCCTCCCATTAACTCTCATAAAATCCACAACTGTAACTGTGGCTCAAGTGATAGAATGCTAGCCTTGAGCAAAAATAAGGTCAGAGAAAACCTAAGGCCCTCAGTGCAAACCCCAGGACCCAACACATTAAAAAAAAACTACAACGAAAAGGAGCTATTTCATTGGTTATAGTTTTCAATATTATAGCAAACAAAATGGATATTGAACCAAAAACTTTGCCACTTGATCTCTAATTAGAGAAATATATCCTCAACCACCCACAGTTAATTGATTTCCTTATTTAATATTAGAATATTATCAGATGTTACAAGTAATATAAAATGAATCAGCATCATTTTCATTCCTGTTTGCACACATATTCATGTATATGTACAAAACACTATCAGTAATTTCCAAAGTAAATCTGAGTATGTTTCCATTGTTCCCTGGGTCAGATAGATCTTGAATCACAGGAACACCTACATTATTTAGTGTATAAGAAAGAGGTATGATCTTAGTTGGCCATCATTAAGAGGAATGGATGTCACATTGATTATAGATGTCTGGATGATAATGACAAACCCGAAGGCCAGCTCTTTAATTATGTAAATGAAATTTATCAACTTCATAATGACTAAAATTCTTCCTGTTCTGTGCCTTTTCTTGGTTACCTTTCGATACTGTTTTGAAAGTTCTAAGTGTAAAGTAAATGATACTAGAGTTGGAAACACAGAGGACCCACTCATTTTTCAGTTCTGGATGCAGAATCCCCTGGATGACAACTGTGCTCACTTAGCAAATAATAAACTGCCTCATATATAAAGGCATTTATTGAAATTAGTCTAGGCAACATTGACGATTTCCATCAGAGATAATTAGAGCATTACAGTAATCACACATGCAATTGAGTCCCTCTGGCAAATTGCTCAGGTCATGCATGATAATTTATTATCATGACTTTTTTTGGTTTCTATTTTTAACACTTTTTTTTGGGGGGGGGGTCCGGTCGTGGGGCCTGAACTCTGGGCTTGGGCGCTATCCCTCAGCTCTTCAGCTCAAAGATAGCGCTCTACCACTTGAGCCACAGTGCCAGTTCTGGC